GCGGGAGCGCTGCCGCGCTCCCAAGCGGCGCACTGTAGCAGTGCACCACCGGGCCAGCCCTGGAGCTGGGATTTGAATCTAGGTTTTTCCGGCTCAAAGACCAGTTTCCTAACACTGTGCAACTTGGCTTATGTGTATATACCCATCATGTGTGGTGAATTTAAAAGCACACCAGATAATATTTTATTTATTAAGCTAGCTGGTGGGTATGTTAAGTATTCTTTACACTTCTGGTGTGTCAAACATTCCATAATACATTTTTTCAAAAACCACACAAGAAAAAGAGGGAAAGAACAATTCTGCATATCCAGGGGCTCAGGTTGTCCACTGCAAAAAGTAGGCTCTTCCACATCAGCACCCCATAGCCTACCAGCCCAACCCTGGTGTAGACAAGAGGAGCCAGTCTTATATTCTCCACCTACTGTGGTCATTAAGTAACTTACCGCTCAAAACAGTTTGTTCCATTGTTCCCTAAAACTTTATTTGTCAAAGACCATAGTGCTCCTCTGATAAATATACTTTTCCTTAGGAGGCAGCATTTTCATTGTAAAGATCACTGAACTTTGGAGCCAGAAAAATCTGGGATTGAATCTCTACTGTCCATCATTTGTAGACTTCGAGTTTTTCACAAGACTCAATCTAAGCCTCAGTTTTCTTCTTTAAAATGGGCACATGTCCTGCTACACCTTTCCCACAGGATTGCTGTGAGGATTAAGTGAAGATTAAGTAAGAAAATGAGTACAAAGCACCTAGGATACTGCCTGACGCTACACTCTTCCCGTTTCAGCTGAGAAAATCTGACCACTCCACCTGCAGCTTCCCCAGAACCCATTACAGGGCACTTCACCCAAAGGAAACCTAAGAAGCAGTCCATTCTCCCTGCTTACCCCCAGTATGCCACAGTCACTGATGTCCAGAAGGAAATCCATCCCGAATAACCTAACATTAGAGAAAACTCAATGGTGACCTTCTTTTTTATTTTAAAACTGTTTTATTGAGGTATAAATTTGCATCCAAAAAATTAAGTGTACAGTTCAATGATTTTTAGTAAATTTAGTAACTTCTAGTTTTAGGATATTTCCATCAGCCCAAAAAGATTCCTCCTGCTCATTTGCAATCAATTCCCAAACCACTCCCAAGCGACTACTCATGTGCTTTCTGTATCTACAGATTTGCCTTTTCTGGACACTTCATATACTCGTGAATGGAATCGTGTTACATGTAGTATTTTGCATTCGGCTTTTTTTTTACTTACCATGTTTTTTAGGTTCATCCACGTTAGATCATTGATCAGTTTCTTTATATGG